CTTCCTCACGGCCATGCGGCTCGAGATTCTCGTCGGGTGCCATACTTCAATACATGCGGGCCTTTGCGTATATTTGGGAGTGTGAGTATATGTATGCATATACAATCAACACAACGACCAACTTGTGCAGGGGATAAATGACTGAAATACAAACGCATGGCAACATGTTCGCAAGCATGTGGCCTCTGAACGTCTGAAAGACCAAACTGAATAGTTCCGGGTACCAGTGCACCAGTGCACTGTCGGACAACATATGTGTGGAGGAGCGCACTTCTTGTACGCATTCTGACGCGACCAGACTCGGCGGTAGCCTCTCTCGTTCATGTGGCAGTTGGCACAAGTAATTGGTAAAATGCCTGGATTCAAGAAGTTATGGCTGGCCTTTGAATCCACTGTGGCCCCCAACTAGGCGATGGCCAGGTGAGGACAAGGGGGTAGTGACAACAACAAAACCAAATTATGACGATGGCAAGCGTCCGAAGTACCGATGGCATTGATGCAGCGAACCTCGATCGGAGGCAGCGTTCAAAGGGCTAACGGGGGTCGACCGCTTACTGTACAAGGGTGTGTTGCCTTCTACCTGCCTAACACCGTTGAGGTCGTTTTCGGTTTCACGTTGTCAGGGCTCTGCAGAGCAAAGGTCAGTGCCAAACACTCAAAGACAAGTGAAGGTAAGCTACAAACTGCTCCATGAAAGTGGCTGCACCCGAAGCGACTTACGGCAAGAGCTCCCCGACCAAAGATGCAGTATACCGCGATGAACCCATTGAACTAAGCCAGTTAACTCCTTCATGAGGTCTGTATAGTTCGGGGCTGGCCATTGAACGCTTCATGTGTTCAGTCCAAGGTCAAGATTTTCCATAAGGTGAACTCAGCAGCCCATGTTATTAGAAGCCTAACTTGCACGGTGCTTAAGTAAGTCTACAGACCCGGACAAGGAGCCCTGGTCGGTCCAGAAACAGAAACAAACACGGCACATGAATATTCTGCCGTTTTTCGGCGGAAGTATATTCATGCCATCGAGTACCGTAAGTCATAATGTAAGGATCCTCGAAAGTTTTTCTGGGCTGGGGCGGGTGGTGGGGGGGTTGGCATCCCCTGTTGTCGGAAGCCCCAAGAAACAGATTGGGCATAAACATGAAACATGTGCAATCAGTATAAACCGTATACAGCCTCCAACAACCTCATTCACCGTACACTACAGACTTCGAAGGGAGGATCTGCCAGCCTGGAAGTAGTAGCTTTTCGACGGCTGCAGGTTGGAGACAGCGAAATTCGTGTTTGTTCCCTGCGGCACAGAGCTCGGGAAGAGGGGGGGAGACAGATCCCGCGGCAATGAGTTTTCAAGAGGCTGGTACACCGGTGCTTGGGCCCCACATGTGTGTGGAACCCGGGGGTGCAGGAACTCTACAGACATGATCCGTTTAGTGTAAGGAGGATCACAAGGTAACATAAGGAACAAGTCCTTGAGAAAGCGATGGGGAGCTGGACCTGGTCCCAAAGTCCACCAAAAAGAATTCGAGTCTTGTCATCCAGACTGTGGATATAACTTCAAGAAAGTCAGTGCAACTCCAAACCGATACTGGCTGAAAGGGTCTGAATTGCCAGCCAGTTGCTTAACTCGTATCATTAATTCTCAAAAACAAATCGACCATAGTCAAGCATGGTTGTGGTCACAGAAGCCTTATTAGCTTGATGAACCGTCAATGTGGCTTCCGAGGGTTGATAACAACAATGGTGAAGCTTGCATAACACATCCTAGCATTTAAGGCAGGACGCCTTGGGGCGGAAGGTGAGGTCCAAATTCCGGCCTTGATACCCTCCACTTCGCAGCTGCAGGACATGCTCCTGGATTCCGAGTAGCCTCGAGGGTTTGTGCGGTCTGTTAGATGTGGACGACGAAGAAAACATAAGGATACCCAGCGGCTGACATCACCTCTAAGACTTCAAAGGGTCTAGAGAATGCAGCACATTCGCTGTAGGGCTCAGGGTCTTGACGTCGGTGAAAGGAGAGAATGTTTTCATCAAGTTCTCTTAGTGGCATCGGACTGAATGACAGCTTCGAGACTGTGGACATGCGTGGAGACCACGACTGATCTTGCTAGGCACAAGCCCTGCAAACATCGAACATGCGGCACTTACGCACAACGTCTGTCTGAATCACTTTTTCTGAAGCACAGTCTTGGCCCTCTACTCGCCCGCATTCAGAACCCTTGCCTCCCTCAGAATACACATCCATCCACCCTCATGGTAGGATACCCACTTGGAACCCCTAACTGTATACCCTAAGCCACACGCTCGTGCATCCCTCCAAAGCAACTCGCTCTCGGCTGTGCCCCATCTGAGGCCATCCACGCAAGCCGAAGCCGATAATGTCACGACCAAGGCCTCGCAAATTATGCCAGCGTGGATCCCCAAGCAGTGGAAGGAGCACCGCGACGACCATGACGGCCAAGACCAGTAGGACCATGGACCGCCGCGACCACTACAACCGGGAGACCAAGACGAGACCACGAGGAAACAATCAGGAGACCGCAGAACACCGTCAAGACCACGGTACACTGCTAAAAACGCAAATCCCAAGTACTGGCGGCTCTAGGAACGGCGCGAAACTGCCCTTTCGCCCAATACTGGCACGTTTCGGGAGACACCTATGCTTCCCCCGTGAAGTGGCACCCCACGAACCTTGTGGTGTACACAATGCCCCGTTGTATGTGTATATATATATATATGTGTATATATATATATGTGGATATATACGTATATACATTATGCACAGCACCATGGCGCGAAGGACGCATCCTGTGTAAATGATGTGAGCAGGGAGGCATATTTCCGTGCGCGTAGTTCGCAGCCGCATCAGTTCTCTTTACTCTGCACGTGTTTTGAAACACCGTTTTCGGGTTGAATTATGTAGATTCGTTGATAATTAATGCAATGTCTACCTTAACACAGGGGCCTTTGTAATATTATATGGGGGTTTCCCAAAATAGGGGACCCTAATATCCTACCTAGGATCCTTATTATAAGGATCCCCAAAATAAGGTACCCTAATTTTCGGAATCTCCTAATATAGTTTGATGAGACAAGGAGTCCTGAGGAGGGATACTTATCCAGGCCCCGACATTCTGCACCGGGGCCTTAATAGATAGAACAGGGTTTTGAGGTCCTTTATAGTCTAGTATATTTATTATAATAAGGAACCCCCAAAACAACGTTGGTAATATCTAGACCCCTATATTAGTCAGAAGAGGTCGTTTGCCAGGCTCCGCAATCCAAGAATGTCCCAGGAATCTGAAATGGCGGTTGCAAGTGGGAATCTGGTGATCGACCCCAGGAGACACCTCTTGGATGACGACACCCAGGCCTATGCTCGGCTTTGCTTAGTTCTACAGGAGTTCTGCTGGGAAGCTGCTGCACTCGAGCCCGAGCGGTTACTCAAGCTTCTGTGGTGAGGGGCCCCGCCGCAAGTTTCGATGCCTCGTCATGAAAACCTGCGGCCTCGACCCCCGAAGCCCTCATCTGATAGGGCCGGCGCTGTCAGACGGCCGCCAGAAGGCAACGATAGTTCGAGGGAGCAGCTCGAACTTGTAGGGGGCCTTAAAAGCGACATCTTTGGCTTTGAGGGTTGGCCAGTTTTAGGCTCTCTACACAGGTTACCACATGAGCTGTAGATAGTTCGAGAACTGGTGCCGGGCAAAGGGCAGGTGCAGAGTTACAGGTGTCGTCTTCGCCGAGAGATCGCAGCCATCGGAGTGGTGGCAAACAAGAGAACCCTGGCGTTGTAAACCGAAACATGAGCAAACATCCGAAACTCAAAACCAAGCCCAGCGCTCTTGTCAAGCCCGAAAAACTCCCCCCAAAATCGCCCACATCATCAAGCGAGACCTACACAAGTCGGTCAAGAACGGTGCCTCTGGTTTGCTGGGCCGCTCCGACCGCACCTGTGAAGCTGCTCTGAAGCGTAGGTTACTGAACTGGCCTAAGCAATTTCGGAGCAGCTCCCAGAGTTTAGGGTTTTCGATTTTTGCTCAATAACTTCTTCGACCAAGGCCGACTGCACAACTGTGGAGGTCTCTGATAAGGCGACAGGTGCGAAGGGATTATAAATGAAACCCCCCCCGCCGCGGCCGGGAAACCTATTGTCCTTCAATATCCGGACGGAGAACAGAGGAATCCTCTGATCAAAACCGGGAGCAAATAGCAAGATTCTTGCTGAGATCACCAGCATGGGGCGAAAGTCCAGCACACACAATGCACACTAAGCCAGGGGGGCCTGCAGCGGGTTCCTCGGGTTTACACATTGTTGACCTCCGGTTCCTGCAGTCGTTGGCCCTTCTGGGCCCATGCCCTACAGTACTTGCGTCCCTCTCTCCAGCACTTCCTCGCGGCGACTTATCGATTCCGAAGTCTGACATGACCGGCTGCAGAAAATTCGTTCATCGAGCATCAGAATGAAGAGCTGTACATGTCAGTACCCCATCGACTGGCCTGCATTGCATCGCTGGAGGAGGACCATGGACCTACTCCCGCGGTGCTGTATGCACGGACCTGGGAGCATGAGTTTGAAGCTTCGCGCTCCTATGAGTCTTGTTGGTTTGTTACGATCTTGCTGCAGCCAGGTCTAGCAAGTATGCGTATGACTCTGTCGCCTGATGTCACAGTAGAGCCAAGGGCTAGATTCACAAGAAAGGACATGGTCTTTCTTCGTGCTACTCGAGCAATAAGAGCTTCTACCCTCATGCACCAGTACTCCTCTTCTTTTTGTATGATTTGGATTGCGCTGTATGCCTAGCATTTGAAGCTGCAATGAGTTCCTCATCTGCGCCTACATCGTCGCCTGTTCTAAGTAGCCGCAGCGATTGTAGTGGCAGTGTCAGCAGTAGTCGTACTCGCAGGTCTGTCTGGCTCGAATACGCCGGAAGCCTCATGCTCGAAACTCTGAGCACGGAGCCTAGACAAGCAAAAGCGAAGCTGAATTCCGCTCAGATCTCAGATTCTGAGGAGGAGGTCACGTACGTCTTGGAGAACTGTCCTAGGTATACGGAGAAGTGCGATGTTCCTACACCCAAGCCCTGGGGCACCTGAAAGAACTGATCGATGAGTGGTCCCCAAACGCCAGGCACCAGTGCCTGCAACGACCACACGGCTCAAACCGAATCTTAATATCGGCTGTTGAAATTTGGGAAATTGAAGAGGCATAAACTATAGGCCCAGTATAGGCTTACGAACTTCAAAGCATCAGCCCATTTTCACATTATGTTGATAATATGGAAACGGTGCACAGCAGGTGTCTTCTATGGCACCTGTCAAGGGGGATCTGCTTGATTGAGTGCTTCAGGGACGACCGTGAGGGCTTCGTCCAACATGACATACAGGGGCCGAAAGTGTGGGAAATCGCTTAACTTAAAACGGAAAAAAGGACATACCGCATCAGGACGATTACTCAAGACTACTGCGCGGATCAAGCATTGGAACCAAACCCATAGATTGGCCCTAAACCCCAAGCTATCTCTACTGCGATGCACTAAAAAGGTCGTAATCAACTCGCCTCCACCAATGTCTCGTTGGGTAGGGCAGTCACATCCGCGTTCTTCACCCTGGGCACGCGTAGCTTGCGACGCAGTGTGGGCTCAAGGATCCTTAAGCTGTGGGTGAGCTCTTTGGGATGCCGGAATTATTCTCCTGCCTGGGGATTGGTCCCTTGATGAGTTGTTAGAGGTCCTTCATTGAGACCTGAGCTGGTAGACGAGGCATCTCTTCCCTGGGATTTCCCCGAGAAGCCCTACACCCTCCTTGGTAACTAGCCCGTGGAACCTAAAACACTGGACCAAGCCCCCAGGCCCGCTAAACCTGAATCTAGACATTGTTTCGTGCACAGGACGGAAATCCTTGTCGGGTTTGACCTAAACCCAAAACCCTACACCGTAAACCCTACCCTAAACTCTACGGTAAGATTTAGGCCAAGTTGTAGCTTTGCGGGTCTGGTGCTTTCAGGTTTAGAATCTGAGGTGCGTTGGTTTGAGGGCTGCAATGGAACCATGCTTCAACAGGGAAGTGCCTGCTGATGCTTATGTCGCTTTGCGGAGCTTTGGATGCTGGCTTTGCTGCGACGTTAGGGCCTTATGCGCGGGCTGTCGGAGCGCTGAAGGCGTTCGCACCGTCTTGTCGCAAATGCTAAGTCTGTGGTGCGTTAACTTTAGAGTTTGAGCTGCATGTCAAACTGGAATAGCGCCAAACATGTCTCAAGTGGTTTTTTCACACCATCAGCTTCGCATTCGCAGGTTTGCGCTGCATTGCCCCTGCGCATCTGCGCAGAGCGGCTGCTTTGGGTGAACCCTTCCGTTAGTCTACATCCTACCCACCGCGATAGTCACTAGTAGCTAGTAGATCCGGAAACCACATCAGCATAATTACCTGAGCTCTATAACCTCCATTACTGCAAACCCCTGTCAGTAACATGTGAGATCATAGAGAAAAATCACATCAAGACGATAAGCACCGCAACCACAACAATTTCATGTGCCAACGTCAACAGGAATTACTTCACACAGATAAGCACACCAAAAGCTGGCTACAAAAGCAACAGCATCATATAACCCTGTCACTCTTTGGCATTGTGGAAGTTGTGCGAAGCCCTGAAGGGACTGATACCACGGCTTCGGGCCAGGACAGCTTATTTGCCTAGAGTCTGCTTCGCATGTCAAGTGATAATGCTACAAATGAAGAGATGGTAAGCAACTTGGCAATTTCTTAGCCCTATCTATTTGCTGTCGCCGACTGGCCTTCTCAAACCAACTATGACAAGCTGCTGGGTGCACAGCAGTAGTTGCTTCATGGATCAAAGCCGGCAATTCCAGCAGCGGACAAGTCATATCTTCGTTCCGGCTTTGGCGAAGCTTGAACGGCTTGTGTTGTTCAGGATTTACCAAGCACGAAGCACTACAGAACTGCAACTGTGGCAAGTAGGATTTCGAGAGCACTTGTTTTTGGAATGAGGACAGGTACGAAGTTCTTGCGAAAAAGCTTAAGTTCTCACCACAAGCAAGGAAAGCATATGTTTACTGCATATCCCCATCATGGTAGCTTAAAATGAGCTCCTGTATCAAAGCCCAAATTTAAAGCTTCAGCCTTCCAGATTCCCTCTGCGAGGTGTCCGGGCATTCGCTTTGCTTTTGGCCTCTGATTTACGTTTTTGCACGTTGAAATTTCAGAGAGCTGAGAGGCATTACCAGCGTACATGAAAAAACAAATGTTGCTGGGAAGGCTGCTTAATTACGGGGCAGTTGCAGCTGGATCTCACTTCCAATGCTAGTTCCGCGGCGTTGACACGATTGCAGCTCTTCCTATATGTCGCTTTTCCGTACATATACCAACAGCGAAGCCGCAAAGGCAAAGTACTGCAAAGCGCCATAGTGGAGCTTCGTGATGCGATGTCGGAGGGCGGGGTGGGGGTAGGAAAGCTTCAGCTCTCAAAGCCTCTGCTGAAACTGCTGGGAACATCGTGCAAGGTCGGAAAGCTGCCTCACTTTGCCCGTCGACTGAAGCCAGTCCTCCACATCTTCGGGTTCTCACATGCGCTAGATACTGATCAGCTTTTGTCCCTGCTGCCATGTAAAGTAGGTCCATCCCCAAGAATCCGGGGAGGATATAGTGAACGCACCACTAAATGGGAGCCAGCCACGAAAACACAACACCACATAATTAGTGATCGATACTCATCAAGCCACGAGCCGCGAGGGATCGGTGTCCTTGAAGTGGCTATGAATAGTCTCCTGGGCCTTCTTCTGCCTCGGCCCACAGACAAAAGCAGGGCCTTCCATGCTGAATCCAAATGTAGCTGCACAGGACTTGTGTGCACCCAAGGCCCTAGAAGCGAAACACTTAGCAAAGCTGGCTTCGAGACACACCACGGATTGGGCATGCGTGATAGCAGCCTAGTGCCCAGCGCCTAAGTCCGAAACACTACGCCGCAATCTCCCAACTCTACCGACACTCGAAGCTACAGAAGCATGAAGGAGCAGCACTACCGTCTTAATCCTGATTAGTTTTCTGATCGTAGCAAGCAGAGTCTCCATAACGGTCATACTGTCGCCATAACCATGGTAGTAATAGGTGGAAGGAGTAGCAGTAGCAGTAGTTGAAGTCGTAGTAGTAGCCGTCGCCGTGGTGCTGGTGGTAATATAAAAGATAGTAGCAGCAGCAGCAGCAGGATTAGTGGTAGTAGTCGTCGTCGTAGAAGTCGACGTCGTCGAAGCGCCGGTGGTAGTCTTAGTAGTAGTGGTAGTAGGAGTAGTAGTAGTAGTAGTAGCAGCAGTAGTAGTAGTAGTAGTAGTAGTGGTGGTGGTAGTCGTAGTAGTCGTAGTAGTAGTAGTAGTAGTAAAGTAGGAGGAGCAGTAGTAAGTCGTAGCAGTATAGCAATCATCTTCGTCTTCAGAGGAGTACTTTTATCAAAGAAACTCCTGCTGCTAGAACCGGCATAGATTATGGCCCTCTCGATGTCCAACTGGAGCCAAGGGGCGCGAACTCGCCCGGCACGCAATGCAGCTGCTTCATCAAGCGCCGGACCTCGTCCTGCTGTTCCTTCCTCGGCAACTTGGTGTGAAACGCAAGCTTTCCAGTTTCCAACATTACAGTTGGAGCAGGTCATGGAGTTCCGGGGCGGCTGGGCAAGGCTTACACGGAAGCAACTGGGGCTGGGATATTGGTATGTAGAAATTCTGAAGACCTGGCGTGCTGTTTAGAGTACTGTAATCAGACCACACCGTCTCCAGCAGACGTTTTGCCGCAAGTCTGACTGCAGCTTTGAAGCTCTTGCATGGGTACAGCAAGCGCTCATGGGATAAGTATCATGAAACTCGACTACAGCTTCGGTTGTTTAGCTCGCCCACGCTGAACAAAAACCCTGCCTGCGAAATGGAAAGCCATGTCCCATTTCAGCATCCTGACAGCTGCTCCCATCCCGACTGCGGAAGACCCTCTACAATCTACAACGCAAACTCTGGCATGGACCTGCTCAAGCAGAAGGTAAAACAATCCAAGACGCGCCCCCTCAAACAATGCTAGGACAGTCACAAACACCCTTCACCCTCACGCTCTCGAAGGCTCGATCATACTGCAGGCACACAGAAACTGTAAAACTGCAGCCCTGAGCTTTCTAGCCAACATTCTCATGCTTGGCCAACCACCGAGGGGACATCAGCTTCGATAGCGCAGAGCTTGCACAATGCAAAGGCCAAGTCTCATGGCTTTGTCGTACACTTCGGGTAGCAGCAGCTGTGGCGGAGCGCTTCGTCCGTGGGACTCCGGAACGACCACAGGGAAGAATTTGCTAGGATGAACGAAGTGGTACGTGGTGTTCCTGGCAGGTCTGGAAGTTTACCAAGCAATTTTCAGCTTCGCGTGCTTTGATTCACAGTTGTCCTTCTTTCCTGCACTGGCCGTGTGTGAAATTGGCAACGCCAAACAGCTCTTGAGGGCCATAAAGACGGAACAAACGGTCACACGCACGAAACCGTTATAAAATACTTGGGCAACCTATGCTCCCCTTGCGCGTCGAGTTGGCAGAAGGTTTGACAGATCCTAAGGCCTGCGAAATGCAGGCGACAAGCAACCTGGCTAGGTTACAGTTTTACTGCAGGCTTGCATGCAAGAACGCCTGGTAGGCAGCCATCTTCCGCCAGTTAGCACTGTGCTCGTGACAGCAGCTAGGGTAATGTAGGGGCCTAATAAGTACCTAGGGGACTCCTTGTTAAAATTATACTATATTTGATATAATGGGCTCCACAACTCTATTCCAATTCAAAGGCTTCTATATTACCCTATAGACCCTGAACCGAGAAGGCCGAGATTCTGCTCTTCCAGCGGCGTGCCAGCACGGGAGGACAATGTCTCCACCATCCCCGCCGTGCCTGAAACTCGCTGACGAACATGAAATAGCAACACGAGCATGATGATCATGATGGTGGTGGTAATGAAGGTGTTGGCGATGAAGGATAAGCGATCATGAACATGACAATCGGTACTGATTACGTAGGACTGCGGTGGCAATGCCACTGCTGGAGCTGACGACGGTCATGAATGAATATGGACACTGAGTGTTGTCCGGATGGTGCTGCAAAAGACGATGCTGGTAACGATGATGACTGAAGAAGCAGAAGACGCTGGTGATGATAATGATAGCGGCGAGTACGAGGCTAACATGACAACGACCCGATGCTTATGAAGATTTGCAGATGATGAATTTGACACCGTGATAGTCGTACTGGTGATGACACTGACGATGGCGCATGCATCTTCAGTTCTCGACGACGACTCTCATCTGCTCCGGTGACAATCGTGCTGCTTTGTGACTCTCGCCCTCAGTATGTGGAATAACAGTGACTTACATCACAGATGCATCCCACCAGCATTTGAGAGGCTTTGCTAGAGCCGTGCATTTAACTTCCCTAAACCCTCAAGACAAGGTGCAGCAAACTGGATGTGCCCAAACATCCACGTAGTCCTGCTGGTTTACGCTTTTGGGGTTTGGGGTCGAGCATGCTAAAGAACGACGAGGCTCATGTTGACTGGAGCTGGCTAAGGGAAAAAAGGCATAAGTGTCACCCCTCGTGCTAGGGCTAGTTCTGCCTGCCTACGAGGGCTACTCCTCTGTTACACTCTTGCTATGGCAAGAACGGTTGAACACCACGCCAAGTATAAGTATATCAGCAAACAAATCAGGCAACAGGCTCGCACGAGAAGACACGCAGTGAACACAAGGTGAGTCCAAACAGGTGGGCGGTAGGCCCACTTCTAAGCTTAAGTTCTAGATGCTGTTCTTAATATCAGGATGACTGGATGTGTAAATGTACACATATAGTGGCATATTGTGGCATAACCTATGCACATACATGCATACATACGTACATACATACATACTTACTTACATACATACATACATGCGTACGTACATACCTACATATATACATACATGACATACTCACTTGCTTGCTTGCCTGCTTGCCCGCTTGTCTGCTCAATAACTTACTGTCTTCGTTGCATGCTTACATATTCATATACAGAATTACACGAACACGCAATGGATGATACTTATTCTGCTTCCTCAAGTCCTACCTCCTAGATAGGTATTGCAGGTGTAGATGAAGGGCTCCTCAGGTGTAGAAGGTAGAAGGGTCTATAAACCACGTGTACAACTTCGCATATTTACCAAGCGTCTTGATCTCGGGCCATACAGCTAGAAGCAGCTAGAGAAAGCGTTGTTGTTTCACCGAATCAGCTCGTTTAAGCTGGCCTTAGCCAGGGTCCTGAATAACCAGAAAAGACTACAACTACTGCTTTCCGAGTCCAAGCACCAAACCTTTCGCCCCACTCGTGCGTCGCTTTCACACTCTTTATACATTACAGTGCTTAAGGCCCAAAATCCTTGTAGCACCCTTATAGAGACGCCATAGAAACCCGTTTAGATCCCTTAAAGTAACCCGTCAGCAGGTGGTTGTCATTCTCAAACGGCTTTTGATGGTCAGGGGTACAAAGATAACTATATATAATCTGTTATGCTTCGAATACTGTAAGGCTATAATATGGCGGTTATCACCAGGGCCAGAAGTCCGCGACAAGCAGAGCAGCACCCTGACCTCTGCCCGAAAACCCTATGCTACAATCTAAACCTTGAACCTAAACCATCAACTCACCCACAAACCTAAATCCCCGAACACCACGCATTTCACCAAACAACGACCGCCCCAAAAAACAAGGCATCCTTCTCCAGGGTCATCTGCGAACCATGAAGGACAGAAGCCATGTGGGAGTGCAGCACATTGTATGGCGCCAGCTGGATGCCTGCGAGAGGGTTTAGCATGTTTGGGCTCCAGAGGTCTTGTTTTTAAAGCGGGCATGTGCTTCAGAGGTCTAGGGCTTAGGGTTTTTTTTGCCTCCTACTTAGCAAGGGCCTAGGGTTTAGGGGTGCGGGTTTGGTGGTTCCGTAAAGTTTTGAGTTTGAAAAAAACTGGGGTTTGTGGGCTGGTGCTTAGAATTCAGAGGCACTGTCCCCAACACTCCCCAACTGTAAACCCTCGGCAACATAGACCGTCCAACTGAGCCGTTCTGAGTTTAGAGGTCAGGGGATCAGCACTTAAGATTATTCAGGTTCTACCGCTTGAAAAGGAAATTGTCTGGATACTATCACCATCAAAACTTGCCCACAACGGTCTGTGAATTGCACTGCGTGGGGTAGATGCTGCTTGCACTATGTAGTCGCTTGATGGAGGACAGCTTGCACAGCTTTAACGGGATGGCACCCAATTATCTAATGAATCGTGCTGTCGTGCAATGGAAAGCAATGATTTACAGTTCATATTGAAGTAACAGCGACTGCTGCATGGCCACCTCGAGTGTCGCCCGTGATGATGGGCGGAATATGACCTTCGCTCGGATCCACATTAGCTTCGGGTTCGGAGCACGTTCATGGTATCCAGAACAACCTTCTGTAATTGTCCAAACGACTGCGTAGTAGACATTTTCCTGGATGCACATGCAGTGTCATTACATGTCATGCCGATACATGAAACGGGAGAAGCCAAGTGCCACCTTCCAGCTGTTGGCATTTTCCATGCCATTGCCATCAGGGAGTTCTGCGGTGTGCGTGGCTATTGCTTAGGCAGTTTATGTTTGGAAGTTCTTGTTGTGCGGTGCGGCGACGATGTCTATTCACTAGCATGCAGCCAATCAGCCACACTAGGTGACTATGCCATCTTCGCCTGGTTCAAAGCTGCCACGAACGTACACCGGCTGCTGCCGAAGTGGCAATACACGTACGCGGAAGTGTCAATGCAGTTCTCCATCTTGTAGCAATGCGCTGCCACGTGTACCTGGCGGAGCCGGAACCCCGAAACTCCGACGTTGAGGCTCAGAAGGAAGGGTACATTTGCGAGTCAAGACTCTGAGCAATAAACACACACTGGTGCTGGCCAAACATGCGTAGCTTAAACCGAAACAAGACTACAGACCGGTCGGGTAAACAATGACTTCCGGAACCAAGCGCGCGACAATGTCTAAACTAGGCATGCCTCGCAGAGGAGCATTCTTCCACATTCCCAGTTCCAAGGAACAGTCACGCACTGTGCTTTATGCCCAGGTGCATTGACCTTCTCGCAGTTGCTAGTGGTGCAGATGGTGGAAACACCGCCTAAGATCCTTGGCTGAGATGCCGATACCCAGGTCACGATGCCTCCAGTTCGAGGCAGGAAGCTAGAGAAACTGACGGTTTTCTGACAATTCAGCACATGCTGTCTCATTCAAGATTCATTGTGCTTTCGAGCAACAAATCAATTATTAGCTGATGTCTTGCGCTCGTGGACGCACCTCAAGTAATCCTTGAAGCTTTCAAGGTTACCAACATGGTGAGACTTACTAAACTCGAAACAGGCATAACTTGATACATGGAAACTTTAACTCGTTATATCCTGCCACCGGCCTGAAGAGCTCTCGAGACCTTCACCTGAGGCCCCCAAAGCATCTAAGTCAAACCTGCATCGCCAGCTGTAATCACACCCTTCAGGCGCTCATGAAAATCCCGACTGCGACTGTTCCTGAAGCTCTCAGAGCGCGCGCTCAGGCTTGGGGGCTTGGTTATCGGGGCTTGGCTTTCTCAGGCAAAACTGCACCAAGAAGCATCGTGGTCCCCTCGCAACCAGAGATGAGGCAGTAGCGTAGCCGCGCTGTAACATAGATGGTGCTGTCTTTGCAGTCGGTGATGTTCAAATACTCGATCCTCGGTAGCAGATGCAGAGAACACAAGCCTATGAACCACGGCTCTAAGCGCTCTTCTGGGTTTTTATGATACGAGTACCATGACAGAGTATGGCTGCTGCTCTTTCTTGGTGCAGCAGTCGATGTCACATCGCTTCTGATGTGAGTCCAAGGCAAGACCAACGACTACGGCAGCTGCCGAAAACGCCAACAGCAACAACAACAACAACAACCACCACAACCACAACCAACAACCTACAACCACCACTAGCAACAACAACAACAACAACAACAACAACAACAACAACAGCAACAGCAACAGCAACAACAGCAAGAGCAACAGCAATAACAACATCAACGACGAACACGACAGCAGCAACAGCAACATCAACAAC